AATTTGATCATTGTTTGAAGCTATTGAATATTCTTCAATGTTGAGGGCTTTTTGAGGTCATTTGGGCGAACTTCGTTCAGCTTGATTTCTTGGGCAAGAGGATACATAGACAGTCTTTTCGATGCAGCTAGTTGGATTTGTTGATTTCGACGGGGAGGGGGGGATTGTTTGAGCTCACGTTTCGGCTCCCGACTTGTTCTGGATTGAGTCCGTTGTCATGGATCTATTCCACTTCGTACTGGATGCAACAAGTGGGATATTTGAATATTTTGGTATTGGGTCAGTTTTGGGAGAAACTTCACCGAGGTGGAGATTTATTGAAGTTCAAAAAAATAGTAGAAAACAGTATTTCAGGTTGCTTAATCAACCGCGAGTCAGCTACGGTCGACCGAAAACGTGCACGAGGTCCAGGATGATTTCTGGAGGTGAGGCGGTCGACTGTCGGGATCGACTGCACAGACCCTGTAATCGATCTCTTCTCTGGAGTTGGGTTCGGTCGACCGTGACGGTCGAGCGGCAATACCCTGTAGCAATTTAGTGTTCTGTTGATTGTTGGACGGTCGACCGCCAATCAGGTTTTGAGTTGGGTTTGAATGTCGAACCTATCTCGTTATGAACTAATATATAACCCTAAACCTGATTAATTAGGGTTAAGCAAAGACGATTTGAGCAGTCTTCGAGAGGGGATTGTTACATCCTTTATGGGAGAATTTGTGAGAGATCTACAGAGCTTTGTTTGAGGGTTTTTGGTGAGATTTGATACCCTATTTGTACTTCTCTTTATCTCTAATAGTAACCCCCCCCCCCTCCTTGCCCCGTGAACGTAGGCAACTTGCCGAACCACGTAAATTGGTTTGTCTTGCTGTGATTCTGATTTGTACTTGTATTTTGGTTGTGATCTTTCTCGTTCTTGTTCGTGCACTATTTGACTTTTGAGTTCCGTTGCGCACAACATTATATTCAAGGGGCTTGTTATTTTTAGGCATGAATAAGTATGTAAATTATCCTGTTCAATCACGCGTCTAAAGGAAAAATAAATTGATATGTTTTTTTATCGCAAAAAATAAATTGCTTAAGAGACTCAATGTGAACTAATAATATTTTCTAAATATTTAATCTCATCTTATGATAGAGCTTGCATGTACGATCGGTCAAGTAAGAATTTAATTGTTAAAGTAAAATTATTAAATAATTTTAATCAAGAATTAATTAGAATAATAAGTGGATGGGACCTAGTCAATCTCAATAATATCGGTAGAAGATGTAATACCAATAATATTTGCATTTATAATTGTTATAAGTTATGTTTTTAGGTATAGCCCAGCATCTAATAAATTGCTAGCATGACGATTAGTCTATGCCTATGAGATCTAAGTAGCCATATGAGAACATAAAAGAGTAGGGAGTAGTTGACACAAGAGGTTCGAGGAAAAGAAGAAGATTTTAGATAACCTCTTGTCTCTCGTATTGTATTCTCTTTATGATGAAAGGTTCAAGTTGGAGGCTTCTTCTTTTGAGTATTAGCTTTTTCTAAAAGATCTATTGAGATGAGTACATTTATTTTACTTTTTATTATCTAATTTGAGTAGTGATATAAGTGTTTCGCCTTTTGTATGCTATGACTTAATCTTTTCATTGTAGAAAACTATGTAACCGTCCTATTTGCAAGAAAATTTATAAAAATCCTAGATTATATTTAATGATGATTACAGATAATTATCTAGTAATTACTAAATCTCAAATGTTTTAGCCAAAATAAGTGGCTATGACTTCTATATATCATTGCTTATGATCATAGATAACTAATGGATCTGAGCATCATAAAAACTTCCTATAATCATATATAGATACTGGATCCGATCTATAAGTAGTACAAAATGATTCAATGTCAGGTTCTTAAATAAACATAAAAGTAGTTTGTCTTTGTCAAATGCAAACGCGAGACACATCAACAAATTTGTCTTTAATCGTATTTTGTCTTTGTCAAATGCAAACGCGAGACATAGAACAAATTTGTCTTTAATCTCAATGACGGTAACTTTCGCTAGAGGATGATGTTCTTTTGTAGATGATGTTTTTTTTTTTTTTTTTTTTTTTTTT